ATCAAATGGTATGGAACATAGGTCTAATCTTGTTCTTTTCAACTACTTGAGCCTGTTCAGTCACTGAATGAGATTGTGGCAGATGTGTGGCCTAACTCCATATACCTGCCTTTGCCCCATATCCCTCAAATTTTTGTTAAACAAAGGTATTGTCTATCTCAGATTTAAACTTAACATCCACTCCAGCATCCATTGCCATTTATGAAGAGAGTTCCAAATATCTACCAGCCTTTGTCTGTAGAAGCAGAATCTCTCCTGGATGGTTGGCCCCAATTTCTAGACTCCTAGTTCTAGAATCCTGAAACAGTATGAATCATTTATCTTTATCTACCCTGTCCTTTCCTTTTAATATCATGAAGACTTCATTCAGATTATCCTTTCACCTTGTGAATTCTAGAGAAAACAGGCCTAATTTGCACACTCTCCTCATAACCCTGAAGTTCAGGTATTATTCTTGTAAACCTACATCGAATTCTCTCCAAGGCCAATATATCCTTCCTAAGGTATGGTGCCCAGATCTGCACACACTACTCCAAGTGGGGTCTAAACAGGGTTTTAAATATCTGCAGTATATCTCCTGCATCCTTGTACTCCAGTCATAGACACATAGAGATATACAGCATGGAAGCAGACCATTCGGTCCTGCTCGTACTGGCTGACCAGATATCCTAAATTAATCTAGTCCCATTTGCCAGCATTTGGCCCACATCCATCCAAGCCCTTCCTATTTGTATACCCATCCAGGTGCCTTTTAAATGTTGCAATTTTACCAGATTCTATCACTTCCTCTGGCAGTTCATTCCATACACACCACCACTGTGTGAAAAAAGCTGCCCCTTGAGTCCCTTTCAAATCTTTCTCCTCATACCCTAAACCTGTGCCCTCTAGTTCGGGACTCCTGCACCTCAAGGAAATGACTTAGTCTGTTTACCCTATCCATGCCACTCATGATTTTATAAACCTCCATATGGTCACCCATCAGACTCTGATGCTTCATGGAACATACCCCCAGTCTATTCAGCCTGTCACTATAGCTGAAACCCTCCAGCCTTGGCAACTTCCTTCTAAATCTTTTCTGAACCCTTTCAAGTTTCACAACGTCCTTCCTATAGTAGGGAGACCAGAATTGCATGTTGTAATCCAAAACTAACCTAACCAATGCCCTGTACAGCCAAAACACTATACTCAATGAACTGACTAATAAAGGCAAGCATACTGAAGCATTCTTTGCTATCCTATAAACCTGTGATTCCACTTTCAAGGAACTGTGAACCTTCACTCCAAGGTCTCTTTGTTCAGCAACACTCCTCTCTTGTTACTATTCAGTGTATAAGTCCTGCCCTGATTTGCCTTTCCAAAATGCAGCACCTCACATTTATTGAGATTAAACTCCATCTGCCACTCCTTGGCCTATTGGGCTATCTGATCAAGATCCCATTGTACTCTGAGGTAAGCTTCTCTGTTGTCCACTACACCTCCAATTCTGGTGTCATCTGCAAACTTTCTAACCATACTTCCTAAGTTCACATCTAGATCATTCACATGAATGATGAAAAGCATGCACCCAGCACTGGTATTTGTGGCACACTGCTGGTCTTAAGACTCCAGTCTGAAAAACAACCCTCCAACACCACTGTCTGTCTTCTGCCTTCAAGCCAGTTCTGTATCCAAATGACTAGTTCTCCTTGTGTTCCTTGTGATCTAACCTTGCTAACCAGTCTACCATGAGGAATCTTGTGGAATGCCGTACTGGAGTCCATATCAGGTCCACCACACTGTCATCATCAATCCTTTTCATCACTTCTTCAAGAACTCAATCAAGTTAATGAGATATGATTTCCCATGCACAAAGCCACATTTACTATCCCTAATCAGTCCCTCCCTTTCCAAATACGTATAAATCCTGTCCCTCAGGATTTCCTCCAATAACTTTCCCACTACTGATGTGAGTCTCAAGCGTCTATAGTTTCCCAGCATTTCCTTACCACCTTTCTTAAATAGTGGCACAAAGTTAGCCAAAATCGAGTCTTTCCACACCTCACTGGCTATTGATGATAGAAATATCTCAGTAAGGAGACCACCAATCACTTCTTTAGCTTCTCTTGCAACATCTCCCCATTTAAATTAAAGCTCTTTATTGATTCTTCCTGACCAGCATCACAATCTCCACTTTATGCTGCATGGACAAAGTTTTACCCACTCACTGGCCATTTCCTACATTTTTTTTCTTCATTCATTCACGGGATGAGGGCATCGCTGGCTTGGCCAGCATTTATTGCCCATCCCGAATTGCCCAGAGGGCAGTTATGAGTCAACCACATTGCTGTGGGTCTGGACTCACATGTAGGCCAGACCAGGTCAGGATGGCAGTTTCCTTCCCCAAAATTAGTATACCAGATATGTTTTTCCGACAATCAACAATGGATTCACGGTCATCATTAAGCTCTTAATTCCAGATATTTATTGAGTTCAAATTCCACCATCTGCCGTGGCAGGATTAGAACCCATCCCCAGAGTCTCCGGATTAACAATCTAGCGATAATATCACCAGATCATTGCACATCGCACATGTTGAATACCCCTCGCACCTTCTTCACAAATGACCACTGACACTTCTATTCAGTTTCACAGTCACGTTTTGCCCTATCGAATATTTAGGCCGGACATCTGAATCTTTAGTAAAAACCGAAAGAACTGTGAATGCTATGAATCAGAAGCAAAAGGAGAAATGGCTGGAAAAGCACTGGGGAGAGAAATCAGAGTTCATATTTCGGATCGAGTGACCCTTCCTCACAACACAACGTTAACGCTTATTTGTTTCCACTGATGCTGCCAGACACGCTGAGCTTTTTTCCAGCAAATTTTATGTTTCTATCTGATTCTTTAAGCCTTAATTTAACAAACTCTTTGTGAAGAATGAGGGGAGGGGGGCTTAGCAAACAAATCAACTAACTACTCCTTTCAGCCACATCAGGGTATCTTTGCACAGCATCTCGAATTTCCATCCTTGTCTCGCAAATTTGTAGATTAGGACCGCAATATACTGCACCGTTCAAACTGTTCCATCGGCCACGCAGCGGGCTTCCGGGAGCATTGCAACGCCGTCGATTGAGGGTCTTCATCATTGGCCAATGGGAAGCCCGGGAGGACCGGAAGCGAGCTGGTCCTCCAGCCAATCAGCTAACCTAATTTCTAAATGTAGAAGTTGGACAATGCATTTCTGATACTGCTCATTCCTGCCCAGCAAAGTTGGTGCTACTGCTCTTCTCTCCCTGAATGAAGACCCTGACTGAAACATCCTCCTCTGTCAATCATCTGTGAGCACAACACTGTTGTTTTTATTTCGGTTCTTTTCTCATTCCGGGTTAAATTGATGACTTGCAAGAACTGAACAGTCGGAAAGTGAATCAAGGGAAGGTGCAGAATCTGGGAAGGTTGGCCCATGTCGTTCGCTCTCTAAAAGATCGTGACATCGTTTACTGTTCTGAGGAAGGTTCACTTGACCCGAAACGTTAACTCTGATTTCTCTCCACCGATTCAACCAGGCCTGCTGAGCTTTTCCAGCAGTTTCTACTTTTATGTGTGACATCTTTTACTCCCTCAGCTTGGCACACTTATTTGTCTGGCGAACAGAATGGCGTCTTTTATGTGTGACATCTTTTACTCCCTCAGCTTGGCACACTTATTTGTCTGGCGAACAGAATGGCGTCTTTTCTTATGTTCACAATTAAAAGGGGTGATTTCCAGGCAAGAGTTGACATGTGATAAGGCATTAATTCAATATCAGATTAAGCTATGTCATATGTTGTTGCACTGTACTTACTTGATATTACCACGCTATGTGTTGGTTCTACTCTTGTTTGAGAGACTGCTGTGAAATTCTGAAATTTAGCGATGGACTTATTATGGCACAAGAGTCCATTTAGCAATTTGAATCTGTAGCAATTCTCCAGCAGTACAGTCTCTTTCATTCCATTTCTATATCTCTCATCTCGCATGTTCATTTGCTGTCCATCTAATTTTGGTTTGAAATCTTAACTGAATCTTTTCAATTTTGAATCATCTACTTGAAATAATTCTTACCGCCTCCTGAATTGTCAAAATTTCCAGGTTGTGACCAATTAATGTCTAAATAATATCCTTCCTTTCATCCCCTTGTGTCTTTATTCAAGTGTTGCAGTCCAGTTAATTTGAATATTTTTAGACCAGTAATATATCCTGAAGAAGAAGCATTCAAACATGCAGTAAAGAGCAGGCTGTTCGGCCTATTGAGTCTGCACCAACAGTAAACAGAAATCAATTGATTGGCATGAATTAGCTTCACCTTCAGAATATTTTCTTTTGAATTTTTATCTTGCACTGATAGTGATGACTTTTTAAACTGCTTTCACAGGATATTGGAAGTGGAAGATTTGAAGGAAGCATTCTGAAACTGACGAAATCTGAAATCACTCAATTTGTCAGGAGCTGAACATCATAGACAGTCTAACTGTGGAGGGAGAAATGTTTCTCTGTTCTGTCTGCTTCAAATGTTTTAAAAATCGATTTGACTGGAGAGGGACTGTGATACACACACCCGAGTGAGAGAGTTTCAGTGCACTGACAGTGAAAAAAGCTCAGTTCAACAGTCTGGAAAAAACAAATTGCACAATTCATGGCAGAATAGACCATTGATATGTTCTGTGAGTGGACAAAGCTTCAACTGATTATTAAACCTGGAGAGAGAATGAGAACACTCTCAACATGAGTAAATCCTGGAAATGTGGCTACTGTGGGAAGGGATTCCATTACCCATCTGCACTTGAGATTCATGAGCGGAGACACACTGGGGAGAGGCCATTCACCTGTTTTGTGTGTGAGAAAGGATTCAGTGCTGTCTCGAATCTGCTGACACACCAGAAGGTTCACGTTGTGGAGAAGCCATTCACCTCTGACTGTGGGAATGGACTCGCTGATATATCCACCCCGCTGACACGCAAGCGGGTTCACACCAAGAAGAGGGAATTCCCCTGCTCTGATTGTGGGAAGGGATTCAGCAATTCGGCCAACCTGCTGAGGCACAAGCGGGTTCACACTGGGGAGAGGCCATACACTTGCTGTGAGTGTGGGAAACAATTTGCTCAGTCGGCTGGCCTGGTTATTCATCAACGGATTCACACTGGGGAGAGGCCATTTACCTGCTCTCAGTGTGGGAAGGGATTCTCTGATTCGCACACCTTGCTGCAACACGAACGGATTCACACTGGGGAGAGGCCTTTTATCTGCTCTCAGTGTGGGAAGGGATTCACGCAGGTATCCAACCTGCAAGCGCATCAGCGGGTTCACACTGGGGAGAGACCATTCACCTGCTCTCAGTGTGGGAAGGGATTCACGCATTTATCCAGCCTGCAAATACACCAACGAGTTCACACTGGGGAGAGGCCATTCACCTGCTCTCAGTGTGGGAAGGGATTCTCTCGATTATCCAGCCTGCAGAAACACCAGCGAGTTCACACCGGGGAGCGGCCGTTCAACTGCTCTCAGTGCGGGAAGGGATTCACACAGTTATCCAACTTGCAGAGACACCAGAGAGTTCACACCAGGGAGAGACCATTCACCTGCTCTCAGTGTGGGAAGGGATTCACACAGTCACTGCACCTGCAAGCACACCAGCAAGTTCACACTGGGGAGAGGCCATTCACCTGCTCTCAGTGTGGGAAGGAATTCACATGTTCATCCCGCCTACAGAGACACCAGCGAGTTCACACCAGGGAGAGATCATTCAACTGCTCTCAGTGTGGGAAGGGATTCACACAATCATCCCACCTGCAAGCACACCAGCGAGTTCACACTGGGGAGAGGCCATTCACCTGCCCTCAGTGTGGGAAGGGATTCACATGCTCATCCCACCTGCAGAGACACCAACGAGTTCACACCGGGGAGAAGTTGTTCACCTGCTCTCAGTGTGGTAAGGGATTCTCTCAATTATCCAACCTGCAAGCTCACCAGCGGGTTCACACCGGGGAGAGGCCATTCACCTGCTCTCAATGTGGAAAGGGATTCACTCACTTATCCAACCTGCTGAGACACCAGCGAGTTCACACGGGGGATAGGCCGTTCACCTGCTCTCAGTGTGGGAAGAGATTCACACAGTTATCCAACCTGCAGAAACACCAGCGACGTCACAAGTAACCGCAGGAGTGCGTTCTGCTGTTCGTGCTGCTGCTCATCACATTTCAGGAGTGAACCATGTTCATTCTGCCAGTGGATGAAATGGGAGTCTCAGAGGATTTCTTTCTGCTGGACTGGCCACCCTCACCACTTGCGTCCAGTCAGGTGGATTCTTCAAATTTTATATGAATCACTGAATGAAGGGAAGATTTGGAAGGTAGAAGTTTGTTAGTTTGCACTTCATTTTCTCTAATATCGTGCTATGTTGGCATGGAGATGGCAATGTCTGGCAGTTGTTTCGTTTAATTTCATAACAAAGTATTTTGAAAGGTTTGCAGTCTGGTTCTACACAGGTTTCCCGATCAAATGTGCCAGCCCATTTACAACAGGCCTACACAGACGGCAACCAAAGTCAGGGAGACTCTTTGAAGGTCCAGCGGAAATCACAATGACTTCTGAGGTCGCAGTAGACAACATCTCATGGGATATGTTGGATTTAAATTTCCCAATTGGTCCAGTGGCCTCCACCAATTAGGAGGTCTCTTGTTGGGTACCTGACTGAAGATAGTCTCCTTTTGTTACATTTATAAGACTTCTGACCCAGAGCACTGTGGAAAAGGGAAACATTTACCGAGTTTGATTTACAAAGTGGACCTAATTCAACCGGAGTTTGACAAGTCCATCTGTCTGTTAGCTCATCTGCTAGCCAGGAGGACTTCAGCCACGCGAACGGAGCTGTTCATTGGATTAAAAGACGGATTGAAAAGGTTAAATAGGATTCCAAAGCAAGGGGTCATCAAAAAAAGCACATCTTTTTCCACATGAATGTGTAGAGCAGCCATGGGTCCCATGGGAGCAGAACCAAGTGGAGGGAGATTCAGCACATTGAAATGGAGGGGTGTGTGTGGTGAGAGTAAGGGGATGAAATCTCACGCCTGGGGAGAGTGACTGCGGAGAGCAAAGCCTGGGGGCAATGGGAATGGTGTGTGAGGCTGAAGACTTTGCAAGAAGTGAGGCTGAAGATCTGTTCAAGAGTTCAGGACAAGTGACTTTTTTTTTTAAATGTTCTATTTATCCAATACCCAGTAGGCCTTATGTACAGAAGGTGGTGAGACATTGGAATAAACATTAACAGCAAGTGAGGGAGAGGGGAGGTGCATTAACCTAGCGGACAAAATTCAAGGTGCTAAAAGGGCAATAAAACAGTCTGGCAAGATAGTCTAACCTACCCTAAGGCAGGTCAGTCTTTGCCTGGAATAGCTTCTTATGTTCTTAATTCACATGGGAACTAGTCACAGAAGGCACCTGGAGATGTGAAAAGTTGGCATTTCATTTGGAATCGCTGAGGGGAAAAGAAGCTGGAAGATTTGCTGAGCTCGGAGCTTGCACTAAAGAGGGAAGCTTCTGAGGAAACCAATCCCCTCTAATGCATTTACCACGAGTGAAAATAGATGTGAAGGATTATGAAATTTTTTTTTTTAGGAAAGTCACTCCAGATGTCCAAGAAAGCCAAGGAAAATCTTTGTTCAGAGTTGCTGGCTGATATCTTATGAGGGAAAGATTTGGACGTTTTTGAAAAAGTTCATTGTGCACGTTATTGTGGGGAAGTGTGTGTTGAAGGTATTCGTCAGAGCACAACTGGAATATTGTAAACTGTTTTGGGCCCCTGATTAAAGGAAATATATACTGGCATCGAAGGCCATCCAGGGCATGTTCATTCGTCTGGTACCATCTATGGATAGACTGTGAAGAGGAGACAATAAATAGGTTGGGCCTGCACTTGTTGGAACACAGAAGAATGACATGTTACCTGACTGAAATAGAGAGGATTGTTAGGGGATTTAACAGAGTAGATGTATAAAGCTTGTTTCCCCTTGTTGGAGAGTCTAAGACCACAGTGCATAATCACAGAATATTGAGCCATTTATCTAAGGCAGGGATGAGGAATTTCTTCTCGAGTAGTGATTGAGGAACTGTTATCACCAAGGACTGTTGAGCCTGGATTATTAAGTATTTTGAAGGCTGATATGGGCAGATTTTTAGTCATGAAGTCATTCAATGGTTATAGGGAAAAGGCAGGGCCGTGGAGTTGAGGATTTTCCAATCAATGGTGACCACATTTAATAGCTGACCAGACTTGATGGGCTGAATGGCCTACATCTGCTCCTTTGTCTTATTGTCTGTTGTTCAGAGTGAATTGAAATTGTTCTGTGAGAATAGAGTCGAGAAATGTAAGCTTTGTTTCTACATTAATCATTTAATACAGGGAAATTATTTTGTGGGCTGCTTCCACAATCTTGGAGAGCCACAATTTGGAAATTACTCCTGTCCATGACAACTCCTTGACATTTGGAATCCTGCTCAGCATGGAACTGGTTGAAACACTAGAAAACTAAAATATTTAGCCCAATAATGAACTGCACAGAAGCTGCAGAACTACCTGCACAATCTCAAATTTAAAATTTTCAAGAGAATAGACAAAGGCATTCGTAATTGTGTTAATAACAGCAGATATTTTTTGTCCCTGCCATGCTGAAACAATACAAAATACAACAGGTAGATAACCATTTCCGAAAAGAGCATTTTATACCTCAGCATGATGTGGAAGAATCAAATTGTTTGAAAGAAAACTAAAATTCCAAATTGAGCAAGCTGTTGATATTATTAAGAGTCAAACGGGGATCACGATAAAGAAAACCAGAATTCAAACCATCCCCTTGAACTTAAACATGCATTGGAATAATGCGACTAGTGAAGATTGTAAGCAACCATGCAAGAGTTGCAGGTCTTTGACAGAAAAAAAACTGTTTTTATCCAGTCAGCTCTGACAACGTAGACAGTGGAACATTTGCAGAGAGAAAGACTCTGGAAATCTTAGGTATCAGAATGAGAAACTGGGGAGAAATCAAATTCCAGTGGGCTGTGGCATACATTTGAGTTGATGTCTTTAGAAAGTGAATGAACCTTCAAGACTTCATGAGGTAAAAGTCCTTGGGTGGAAAAGTAAAAACTGAATTCAAAACATTACATAGATATTTATGATTGTGTGAAGTTAGGATACTTCTTCGTTTAACTTTTCATTTACACAGTAAAGTTTGTTTTTGTTAAACAATGTGAAATGTGGTGCCATGCATCTTTCAATTACTTACTGAAAGTATCTTTAAATATTGACTGTCCTGCCAAAGATTGCAGGATTCTTGTTCCGTGGGGACAAAAGTGACCAGGATTAGTTAATGAGAATCTTCACACACAGTAAGGTAGCAGAAGCCAGCCAGGCTCAGAAATCGATGATCAGGTAAAACACGTGTTTAAATTACAAAGGGCACAGCCTGATAGATTTGTTTTTGTTTGACACAGGGAGCAGATCAGAAGAAAGATTTTTGTAAATGTTTGAATGGGAGCGTCAGTGGCAAGGCCAGCAGTGAGTGCCCACCTCTAACTATCCCTGAAAAGTGATGGTGCATCAGTCAGCTCCTTGAAGTGCTGCAGTGCCTGCGTTTCCGTGTGTGCTTTGTGACCACTGGAACCTGCCTCTCCTGCAGAATTAATGTTGGTTCTCAACTTAAATTGGTATTCTTGCAAATAGTCCTGATGAATGAAAGATGTGGGGTGGCAATGAGTTGTTTGCTGGTGAGAGAGATCAGCAGCACAATAGTTGAGTTCAAACTGTCTGTTCTCCTGCCTCCGTCCTCACCTGACACACACGCGCACACAGGTCCCGGACCTGAAATCCACACAGAGATTGCTCGGCGTTTTGTGGATGATGGGTGGGCAAGGGGAGTGGTGTTGTCCAGCTCCTGTTGTTCACTCCCTTGTGAATGATGCATTGGGGTTGGGCTTAGTGAGGTAGGGGATTAAGGAGTTCCTGCTCCCTTTTCTAACACCCTTGTGGATGATGGGTTGTGCTTGGTGGGGCAGTTCCAGATCCTGTTGCTCATTCCCTTGTGGATGATGGGGGCACAGCGTGCGGCAGACGGGAATCGGCCAATGGTAATGCATGACTCTTTGAATGATGGGATTATTACCTATTGGAAACCTGTGTGGGCAGCGCAACAACAATTGAGGAGCAGTGGATTGATGTTGGAGGCGCTGGGTGGCAAGGAAAACTGCCCAAAGAGGATAAAGAGGAAGGGAGCTGGCTGGGCGATGTGCCAATGACAGGGCGAGGAGGTCATTGGGACTGAAGGTATAATGGACCAATAGTGATGGTGGTAACCCAGCTGTTTGTGGACAAGCCAATGGTGAGGTGAGGAGGCATGGAGCATGAGTTGTGAGTGTTCATTGGTTTGGCCAAGGGAGAAGGTGGGCAGCGAGTAGCCATGATATAGAGGTGCCAGTGTCAGACCAGGGTAGACAAGGTCAGAAGTCACACGATACCAGGTTATAGTACACCATTTTTATTTGAAAACACAATCTTTTGGAGTCTTCCTCCTTCTTCAGGTGTTATTGAGAGAGGAAGTATCAGACTCAGAATTTATAGGTAAAAGGTCAAACGGCCACGCCACTGATGAGGATGTACTAAATTTATAGACAGTCAGTTAATGTGGCATTTTATAAATTCCTACTTTAGAAATAAAACGAGTCTGACTCCAATCCAAAGCACAAATAGATTCTAAACAAGGCCTCACACCTTACGTGCATTGTCTGACCTCAAATGTCACCCCTTCTTTACACTGATAAAACCTTTAGTTCTCTCAGGGCAGTGACTTCAAAGGAATTCAGGGATTACATATTTGTGTTAATCAATTAAAAGTTTGGAACTATTTAAAGATTTAATAGAATCTTAGGTTTGTTTAGTACCTCCTCATTAGTCCTTCATCAGGAAGGGACCCAACCTGAAACATCAACTTTCATGCTCCTCTGTTGCTGCTGACCTGCTGTGTTCCTCCAGTTCCACACTGTATTGACTCTGACTTCCAGCATCGACAGTTCTTGCTATCTCACAATTTCACAACTGGGTCTTGAGTGTGGAGGGGGCAGGAGGATGGAAAGTCCTTCAGTGAGGGGTGCAGGGGGATCAGAGGGCTGGATGGGGTTGTGGTGGGAGAAGGATGTCCCACAGGATTCACAACCTCCGACATGGTCTTGCAGAGACAGTATTGATAGTGCCAGTCCGGTTTGTTTCTGGTCAAGGTTACCCCAAGGACTTCGATAGTTTGGGAATCAGCAATGGTAATGCCATTGGAAGTCAAGGTCTTCTGGGTGTGCATGTGAGAGAAAATGTGAGTGTGTGAGAGACGGAGGGGAGAGTATATTTATGAGAGAGATTGTGTGTCTGTGTGTGAGAGAGAGACTGTGTTTGTGAGACGGATTGTGTTTGTGAGTGTGTGAGAGAGAGTGTGTGTCAGAGAGACAAAGATTGTGTGTGAGAGAGGGGGAAAGATTGTGTATGTGAGGGAGGCAATCCATGCATGTGTAAGAGAACATGTCTGTTGGTATGTATGAGATAGTATGTGTAAGTGAGATATGTATGTGTATTGTGAGAGGGAGAGAAAGAATGTGTGAGAGTGTGCATGTGACAGAGACAATCCATGTATGTGTAAGAAATTGTCTGCATGAGTGTGTGTGGCTGTGTATGTGTGAGAGAGGATGTTTGTGTGTGTGACTGAGTGAATGGGATGTGTATGTCTGACTGTGTGAGATTGTGTGTGCGCGAGCCCGAATGTAAGTGAGATTTCCTCTGTGTGTGTTTGTGTGAGAGAGAGAGAGCTTGCATGTGATTGTGTGTGTGTGTGAATGAGTTGCTGAGTTAAAAGAAACGTGACTCTTTGGCCACTTTACCTCTTGATTCCAATCTCTCTTGGTCTCAGGAAATGAACTGTCCTTTACTGTGCCCTGTGTCCGTACGTACACATGTGATGACTAATCACAGCAGACTCACTGAGTCCATATAAACAGCAGGATGCTGGCCTGCTCACTGTGACTGGGAGGACCGAGCCAATCATGAGAAAATCTCTGACTTTGCTTCTTGTTGTCTCTTTGCTAATGCAGCCCATCACTACTGATAGAGAAGTGCAATGCGGGACTTTTTTGGGTCAGTTCAAATCACAGAGAACAATCTGTGGAAAAATATCTGGGTGTGGGGGCCGTCCTGTCCATTAAGCCTGTGCTGCCATTTATTTGGATCATGGCTGCATTAGGTTTGGCTTCCTATTATTTCTGCAAGAGTGAAAAGCTCATCTCAACCCATGCCTTCCGAGCTCCCCTTTTTTGGTTCACAATCTGTTGTTTTTTATAAGCATGACTTAAAGAACGAGAAGGCACGGATCTCAAATAATCAGTAAAGGGTGGGGTGCTAAAGTAAGAGTGAGGAAGGAATCCACCCTGCACTGAGGGATTAAGGTGTAAAATACCCTGTCTGGGGGAGTTGGTGTGGTGGTGGTGTTTGGAGGCCTAGCCGGCGACGTCCTCATCCCATGGATGAATAAAGGAAAAAAAAAGCAATCTCTCCTCATCACCGACTTCAATGGGCAACCCTTTATTGTGAATTGATGCCTTCAGTCCTAAACCCTCCCACAAGGGAAATAACCTCTCCACATCACCCCTGTCAAGTCCCTCTGTGAATCTTGTATGTTTCAGTAAGGTCACCACTATTCTGAAACACAATCCCACCAAGGAACTATCTTTATCACGTTATATATCCTATCTACATGCTGCTGCCTGGAGACATCTTTAGTTAAATGTGCATCGCGGTTGCAATTCCCTCCAGAGATCTGCCCTCCCCAATGCTGCACCTGAAATCCATATCAGGGTATCTGCTCTCCTCCAACTCTGGCCTCATGTGTGTTGCAGCAGTTTAACCAATCTGCCATTGGTGATATGAGCCATCAGCTACACTGATTAAAAATTTCAGAATTCCCGCCTGTCTACCTCTCTCTCTCTCATTCTGTCTCTCTCTGCGTCTCTCTATCTATCTCTCTCTCTGTCTTTCTGTTTATGACTTTCTCATTTTCTCTGTCTCTCTCTCTCTGTTTTTCTCTATCTCTAATCATATCTGTCTCTCTCTGCTTCTCTCCATATCTCTGTTTCTCTATCACTATCTCTGTCAGTTTCTCCCTCTGTTTTACTGTGTCTATGTCGCTAGCTCCAGCTCTATCCCTATCTCTCACATTCTCTGTCTCTCTCACTTTCTCTCTCTCTCTCTCTCTCTGATGCTCACTATCTCTGTCTCTCTGTCTCTATCTCGCTCTCTACCTATGTCTCTCTTTCTATCTTTTGTCTATCTCTCTCTGTACATCAATGCTGTTCAGTGTCCTGCCATTATCTGTACACTTTCCCTTAACATTTGATCCCACAAGTGCAACACCTCACATTTACCTGGATTAAACTCCATCTGCCATTTCTCCACCCATATCTGCAACTGATCTATATCCCATTGTATCCTTTGACAACCTCCTACGTTATCCACAATTCCACTGATCTTTGTATTGTCTGCAAACTTACTAATCCATCCATCTATATTTTCATATATATATATATAAAATATGTATGTATATATGTGTGTGTGTGCGTGCATGCATGTATATATATCACAAACAACAGAGGTCTCAGAATATATACCTGTGGAACACCACTAGTCATGAATCCCCAGCCTAAAAAACACCCTTCCACCACTCACCTCTGTCTTCTATTGGCAAGCCAATTCTGAATCTATGCAGCCAAGTCACCATGGATCCCATGCATCATAATCTTCTGGATGACCATACCATGAGGAACCTTGTCGAAAGCCTTACTAAAATCCATGTAAACAAAGTCCGTTGCTCTACCCTCATTGATCACATTTGTCACCTCCTTGAAAAATTCAATTTACTGAAGCATGACCTGTCTTGCACAAAACTGTGCTGATTGTCCCTAATTAGGCGATGCTTTTCCAAATGTGTGTAAATCCTATCACTAAGAATTCTCTCCACTAGCTTCCCAAACACTGATGTGAGACTCACCAGTCTTTAGTGTTCTGGATTTTCCCTATTTCCTTTCTTGAACAGAAGAACAACATTAGCCAATCGCCAGTCCTCCAGGGCCTATGTTCTATGTTCAATGTTATACCTCTCCAGTGACTAGCGAGGAAGCAGAGATCTTGGTCAATGCCCCAGCAATCTCCTCTCTTGCCTCTCTCAGT